ACCTGCCCGATAGATTTGCAAAACAAAAAAACACGAGAGAGGTAAAATTCAATAATAAAAGCAATATGTTTATATTTCGCATTTTTCACTTTGCTTTATACGTACGTTTGAAGCTGAATGCAATGAATACTTTCCGACAGTCACGTTCGTTGACACTTTAAGTAATATCGAATTTCCGCATAGACATTCGAACGAATCTATCACCAAATAANTGAAGCAATTGTTTACAGTCAACAATCCAAAAAAGTGAACATACCACCACGATACAGCGTTACAATAATTTTTATAATGCGCCATGGATTCAATGAAATCAGAATTTATTTACTACCTTCATATTGATAAATCCATTCTTGCCTTTACCAATTAATGGAACTAAGCGATCAACTCGCCATCGATTTCAGCTGGAGTCTGAAAAACAAAAAAAAAACAAAACAACGACAATCAACGATTGTAACAACGAAATTGGAATAAATTGAAAGGGAAAATTGGTTTGTAATATCAAAAGTAATGGGTAAATATTCCTAAAATCATTTGCAAGAGACATTCACAAAACGTTCATCTTTGTTTCATACAGCAGTTTCCACACAAGCAATAATGATACAATCACAAAAGCAATACCGAACTTTCACGATGCAACAGCAATTTTGCATTGATGGCCACTTTTCATCACCATTAAGCGGATTTCCTAAAATAAGATGATAGTTCCTTTTATAATATGGAAGGGATGCAAGAAATGGTGAAACTTAATTATTTCTCCATCGTTTTTCTTAGCCCACTGAAGCATTTTTTCTTTACCACAACCAATCGCAAAGATACTGTCTCTCTCGATCATAAGTTCCCGCAAGAAGCGCATGCTCCGTGTCCAATAACCTCGCTCTTAAATCAGCATTCTGCACCAATTTTCCAACAATCGCACGGTGCAACAGCACTGCTCCTTGGAATGTACATTCCCCTTGAAATGATCACACTAATCTTATACAACTACCAATATCACCGACCATATTCTATAATCACAAACTCTCGCTCAACATCTCATGTCAGTATTATTTTTGTCAGTATTATTTTCTTGTCAGTATTGTCAGTATTATCTTGTCAGTATTATTTTCAGTATTATTTTCTTGTCAGTATTATTTTCCAACCTTGTCAGTATCGTGACCTTGTCAGTATTATTTTCTAACAAGCGAAACCTACTCGGAACAATCCGTGCTTCACAACAATATCGCAGCATAACCATTTTTTCTTAGAGTATATGAAAACGATCATAAACAATTCACAATCAAAAACACATTCTCATTCTTAATATCTAAAATAACTTGTCATCAGA